CGAAGTTCCAGCTCTCTTACTTTGTTTCTGGAGGCACGTAGTGATGTTGCTTAACATCTCTGGACCTGTTTCTCATCCTGTGTGCCTCTCTCCTTCCAAACGGCCATGTCTACTGGGCAGGGTTGTTGTGAGAAACCCTGTATGGAGTACCTGATGACCTTTTTTATGGAAAGGGAAACTGATTTGACTAAAGATTCTTTTGTTTTATGAAAGTTTCTTTATCAGTGGCCTCCACATGGAGATTCCTCAGTTGTGTTTTCAGCTAAAGATAGATGCCCTTGTCAACAGGAAAGTGCTAACAAGGTCCCTTTAAGTCAGTCTTATTTGTTCCCCCAAAGCCCTGCTTCTAGGCAGCACTTTACCAAGTTTTCTTGACTCTCATTTCACATTCTTTCCTTGTCACTTCAGCTCACTCCTCAGAAGCCAGGGAATTGGAAAGACTGCCTGGGAGGATGAAAGTCTCTGAAAACAGACCAGCCGCTTTCATACATTTTTCTTCCACAAGAAATGTGGACAATTCAAAGAAAGATGGGTTTGTGTAAATTAGCCCCATCCTATTCCCTACAGGCCAATTTATTTTAAATCTATTCAGTAATCGATGCCATTACCTCAACAGATGGCTTGTTAATCTTCAGACCAACAGCCAGATTTCAGATTACCTTCCATGTTGCAAACTCTTCTCCGAAGTGAAAAATAAATAAAATATAGAAGAAAAAATAATTGATCTCAACCCCAGCGAGACCCATAATGTATTCATTTCAGGCTTAGCATTTAGGGTCAGTTCCAGAAAACTTTTGTCATTTGGAGGCTCTTACTCCCACAGGCATAGGAAGTTAATGTATTAATTTATATTTGAAATGAGTAAGCAAAAACTCAGAACATTTGTCAGTGAAAGAGCACAGCTCACAAACTAGATCAACTAGATTAACTAGTTGTTGTTAATGACAAGCATTAAGGTTGTCATTGAACCTGGGGACAGTTTGGAAATATGTCTTATTATTTTCTCAGTACAAGGAACTGTTCTGCCTTCCCTAGTTCCAACAAGAAGCCAATATCATTGTTCCCATTCCACAGAAGAGGGCACTCAGGCCTAGAGTGTGTCCTGACCCAGATTATGCAGCTTAGACACTGTCATGGGCCTTTGGGATTTTGTCCCCAGTGCTCTGTTTCTTTTCCTGAACGCTTTTGGGAGCCGATTCCCTCAATTTGTGAATGTGGCTGCACACACAGACACTTTTTAAGCACACACACACTTTTGAAGCAAAGCACACTAGTCTGATTCTTTCAGTGTTGAAGAGGCCAGAGGCATAGATCAACGGCCACACTTTTACTGTCACTCACCCATCAACCCTTGGGACTCCATGTCCATCTTCTGGCCTCAAGCATATAACTTCCATGAATTTGAAGAAAAAAGTCTTATACATGAGGAGTATTTCTTCTGGGATGATCCAGTAATTTGCCTAGTGCATTGAGGATGAGCCACATTATGAACATCAGCAAACATGGGGTGAGTTCAGGATTTCCTTTCTCCTAAATCCTGATTCACCCACTTGGGTTTGGGGAAAGATTGGTAAAGCCAGTGGCAAGGGGTAGTTACAGAACATTTGCCTCTGGTTTCCTTTGTCTGGATCAGATTCAGCCAACGTGATCCATCAGTGATAGCAGTGCAGAATCACACTGGCAAGAGCTCTGAAAATGGACTTAATGACCTGAGTCTATGTTGCTATTGAAGGAAACAACCCTTCTTCCTCAGGAAGCTGGTCTAAGATCTTCTCCATCTCTCTGCTGGTAAGTCAGATCAGGAAATGTATTGAGGAAGTCACCAAGTCTATGATAGAAGAATGAACTTCTCATCCTATCTTGAAGGTACAAGGAGATGTTAGAATTATAGATTGTCTTTATTACAACTCTAGGATAATATAGGAACTGTCTTCTGAGTTCTCAAAGAAATGTGAAGATAGTGATATTTTCAAGGTGTTGATAGTAATGGTCAATTTCTTTGAGACTGAGAAATGGTTATTTTGGGAGAGGCAGTTAGGAATCTGTGGGGTAATAGAGAAGGAACATGGAGACATGAGTGCTAATGCCCAAGTCTGTGAGGGTTTGGCAGTGAGATCATCCCTTGGACTCTCCCAGCCCTGATATCCTAGGAGTTTGCTATCTCTAGTAACCTGAACATTTAATGATATAGAATTTTCCACTTCTTAACTGTGCCAGATAGATGAAAGAACTTAACTCTATGAATTGAAAATCTCGAGCCAATAGGAAAACCTACCCACATCCCAGACTGCCTTATGCTTGTTGATGTCAGAACAAGAATTATTGCGGGTAATCAGAGAAGGAAGGAAAAAAAAAGAGCAACACATACCTGGCAGAATTCTTGTATCAAAGTGGTACAATTTGCCAAAGTGTTCTTGAAAGTTAAATTTTCCCTTACATAACTTTTATCACTTTCTTAAAAATGTTCCAATTGGGCTGGCTTGCTTTATGATTTGTCTCGCTACAGAGATAAGCATATTTAAATGATTAGACCAGAAGTGTCAGGTATTGTTGAAATTTAGAGGTTAAGGCTAGGAGAGTGATACCAAAGAAAAACTTGAGCAAAGGAGCTGTTATTTCAAGTACATAGAGGTGCTCTGTGCTTCAAATGAGATGCTGGTTAATCTCAAAAACCCTACAGCTCCCCATGTATATAAACATCTACAAGGATTTGGAAAACTGAGCATATACAGCAGACCTTTGTATAGACAGCTGTGATCCCCAGAAAGCTCCTTAACTCACTGAAATCAAGCTCTGTGGGTCCAGTGGGGTGAAACCACTCTATAAGCTGATGGGAAGAGTATTTCCTTTCAGGTCTAGTCATGAATGGATTCTAAAGCTCGTTGTTTAAAAAAGAAAAGAAAAAGGTAATTTCTCATCCAATGCTTTATATATGCCAATCCATGATAACCTAACTTATTTTTTAAGCATTCACATGATGCTGTTAGCTGAAAATCTACATCCTGAATTCAACCAGGGTTATAATTATTTACTTTAGGTACAGCTCTTAACTGTTTGCAAAGAACTACAAACTAAAATATGTGAATTTAACTTTGCCACATCTGAATGGGAATATGACTACACTGAAACCCTCGTACATTTTTCTTTTATAGATACTTTTACTTGACTAAAGTAATTGACCATGAGGAAAATAAACTCATAGGATTATTTTGCAAGGAGCAACGTGAAACGAACTAGGATGAGCTTTTTTCTAAAATGTATGTGACTAATGCACTCAAGCACAATTAACCTATCTAAATTTTGAGAAGGTTATCTCAACCACCTGGTTTTCACATTTTTTAGGGACAAAAGATGCATCTCTCCATGGAAGTATGTTCAGATATATTCTAATATTGTCCTCCAGGGGGCGTTAAATCTTCAGCAAATCTCTGACTTAACAGGAAGGTGTTCAAGTTCAGTTAGCAAAAGCAAACTGGCTTTCTTCTCACTGGGATGGGAATTTCTGGGTCTTACACACTTAAGTAAGGCAAAGGTACATAGCCTCATATGTGCCACGAGGCTCATCTAGTCATATTGCTCTGAATGTTCTACACCAGCAGTTTTTAGATACCACTGTGGTAGAAAGGAACATTTTAGTGCACGTCCACGATGGAAACGTGCTTCCTAGATGCCCAAAGAGAAGAGGATGTGTGTCAAACTGACAGAAGAACTCACCCTTCTAGTTAAGTCTCACATAGGGCTATTTTTGCGTGTGTGTGTGTGAAAACATTAGTTGGAAGTCTGCAATCCCCTAGGTCTACAAAAATAGTGATTTCATGTAGTCAAGTCTATGACTGTAAAGTACTACAGGACAATGGGTAGAGGCCCAGAGATTCTGAAGTTGAGTGGGTTTTCAGCACACTGTAGTTCTAAGTGTTAGGATCTTGAATTAATCGTTGAATCCTATGTCCCTGACTCTTCACTCACAAGACTGTCGCATGGGGAAGTTGAAAGGATTAAGACCAACCAAGAAAGGTAGTTGGTAGCAAGTAAACTTCTGTTATTTTAACACTTAGGATGATGGGGTCTGGCATGGAGACCCCTCAAAATGGCAGCAGTCTTGTCTCTCACATCTCTTACATAGACTCCTTCATCCCAAATACCTCCCTACACATTCACCCATTTTTCCTTCTGCTTTCTGTGCCTACAACATCATCTGATAAGACCCAACCAAGTTTTTAGGATTATCTATAAAGGCACTTTAAAATTAAAATAAAATAAAATTTATTTCTCTGAGATCTGAATGCACTTCTTCCTACTCCTGGCCAATATCAAGGCCACCAAATCTTGACACACCGGTGTATACATTTGTCAAAAACATAGAGTTGTGCACTTACCATGGGTGCAGGTACAACCCTGTAATGAGCAGACTTTAGTTTTTGGAGACAGGAAGACTTGGTTCAAATTCAAGTTCTGATGCTTTCTTTTGGGCAACCTCCCCTTTCACCTGTCTTCTCTCCTACTGTTGTGGGGAGTTGTCACTTTTTCCTTTTGTGGGGGGATTAGCATAAAGATGGCTTGTGCTGTGCTGCTGAGTTGATGCTCTTTAAATATTAGGACCTTCATTTCTAGCGTTGCTATTTCTTTATTTGTCACATATTCCTGTCCACCAGATGATAATCCTGAGCACAGAACATATGCCATCTTTTCTTTTCAATTACATTTAAGACAGAGTAGAAGTGTGTTTAGCTACACCTGATAGCAAACACCTACGACATCCCCACATCAGTCTCTGCAAGAACACCTCTCTGTGTGTCATCACTCGGGTTTGCCAGGGTTCCCTATCTAAGCATCTGACAGATCCTTTACTTGGCCAGTTAAATCGGCCATGTCCCCCCATGGACAATAAAGCTTCACAGTTATCTGAAGATGGTAATTCTCTAGGTTCACGAGAGTTGTCTGGTTTTCTCCCAACCATATAGAAAGACTAGATTGTTTCCTTGACCAATAAGTCACTCTGGTTTCCATGGTTCAAAGTTAAGCTTTTATTTGATTTTAAATTAAAAAAATAAATTTCATTATTAAATAGTGAGATGGATCTAACTAATATTCAGATAGTAGCTTACTCAGGAATATACCACCGGGGGTACAATTCAAGGGTGGATCACCTAAACTAAAAGTATTTGTTATGTTGTCACCTTTGTTAAAAGTTTGACAGTGGCATGATTCAAAAGAAGTTTCGATACAAAGTTTTAAATGTTTACAATGGGTGGGAGAAGTAAACCACTTATTCTACAGCAAATAGCAAAACATATTTTGTTCTCAGCGTCAGTCAGCCTGGACCTTATACCACAGTGCTAATGTCGTCGGGTTCATCTGCTTTCTTTTGCCTGCTTGGCAGGGATTTCAAGTATTCAAGGTGTCTCCGCGCATCCTCCTGATTTTGCCTGACATAATACACCACGTAGGAGATCACCATGGTGAACCAGCCAAACATGGTGACCAGCATGGCGTAATCAGTAGTTTTTTTAGGGAGGTTACAAAGGTCAGCATCATTGGCAGCATTGAGAAATGGTCTCCCGGCGTGCTCGTCCAAAACCGATGTCTTACAAATCACATTGTGAGCTGTGTCGTGGTTAGAGGCCATGCTCCTCAGAACTTGCTGGAGAGTACAGTCACAGTGCCAGGGGTTGTTGGCGATCCTGGCCCTGGCCTTCAGGTTATTGAAGGCATTTTTGTGCACACTTTGAATGCGGTTGTCAGACAAGTCCAGAGTCTGCAAAGTTTCAGCTACTCCCTTGAAAGCATGCTCATCTATGAACTCAATGCCGTTTTTGGACAGGTTGAGAACTCTCAGTTGATGGAGGTCCTTAAAAATCTCATTGGGGATAGATGTGATCTGATTGGAGTCCAGATACAATAAAACTGTTTCAGGGGGAAGATCTCTAGGTATTTCCTTGAGATTTGCATTGCTACAGGTAACATTTAACCCCCCAGAAGAGGAACAAAGACAGCCCTTGGGACACATACTGGCAGAGTGAAAGCACAGTATCATCAGAACGAAGCTCTGTAGGAGGAGACACATGGAGAGGGAACGGGTCAACCACAGGTCTACCAGATTCATGCTGGAATGTCAGCATAATCACAGGTCCATTCCTCATATACTCCAACAAGCAAGCGCGCGAAGGGTCCAGCCTTGTCTACACTGTTGGTTTCCTTCTGAAGAGGTTCAAAAGGTTGTGACTAACACGCGTGTGGCTTCATTGTTCCAGTCCTTGCTTGGATACCTAAAGGAAAGGCAAGCAGATGCAATTAGCTCTTTTGCAAAGAAAGGTATGTTGCAATTAAAAGTGCTCTCAGGCGTCTGGCATTCTGTGGGGGCAGGAGAGTTGGTTATGCAGGTAATTTCCATCAACCCCAGTGGGAATTACCTATGTAATGGGAGTCTCCAGTTTACATCCCAAGTGCTGGGGAGAAGATGGTCAATAAATAAGAACATTTCTGAATTATATTACCTGGTTTTCAGTGTGCAGAATTAGAGCAGAGTTCAGATTTCTCTTAGTACTTTTCACATCCTAACCCCTCTTAATTCTTCAACTGGAAAATTTAATCACAACACTGTCCCTTATTATTATTCAATGCGACATAAACTCTACTTGAGGCAGCAATGAGCAATAATACTGATCTTTCATGGTTAATGACTGAATATATGCCGTGACTTTGAATGGATATCCAACTTGGAACATTTTCTCTACAGAACCATCCAATGACGAAATGAATGAATCCATTCCAACCTTCACAATAAAATGTTGTTAAGGACTTACAGTTGAGAATCTCCAAAAGACTTATGACATCCTTGTGACCTTCTGAGGTTACAGGATACCTGGAAGATCCCCTTTAATTGAATTTCCATAAGATTTTCTCAACAATATATCCCCTCCCCAACAGACCTTTAGGTCTTTTTTAAATTATAAGATGAGAATTAAGAAATACTAGCCTCTAAAACCTCCCCAACAGTCTATTTTTCTATCATATACATGAAAAATAAATAATTTCACACATATGTACAATAGATGTTGTATTACATATGCATAATATATATTATATTCATGTATTATATGTAAGTATATGTAAGTATATTTACACATATGTATAATTAGTGATAGTATTAGAAGGGACAACTGAATTGCAAAAATTAATGCGCTAGAACAAGGTTACATATAAGCTAACTGATAAACAAGTTTAACCCTCAAAACTATGCTCTCATATAGAGGAAAGGCATCTTTGGGCCTACCTAGTTCACAGAAGAGGCAAATAGATCTCGGAGATTATGTGACTTGCCCAAGGTCAAATAGCTTGTAGGTGGTAAAGTTGGGGCTCAAGCCAAGCACTTCACACTGACTCATTCATCTCACAACTCTTTCACCAGCCCCTCCCTGCGCCCCCCTGCCAGCTCTCTCTCAACTCCATCTGCTCCATGAGGACAGTCAGGATCCAGGGAGCACTGTGCATTGTGGTTTGTGATGCTACGATATTGCAGCACAAAATCCAACTTGAGACCCCCCTGCGGTCTCCTTTGAGGAGATTCTCTGTATTGTGGAGAGAGAGAAATAAGAAAAACAATCATTCTTCTGACAGCAGTGAGCAACAAATGACTTCTATGCAAACTTATCTTCACTAAAGATCCAGATGGATAAATACAGAGGGAAATGACTCCAAATGTTACCAAACTTAAAGAAGAGAAGATTAATGTGAGCTGAAAACATAATGAACTGGGTTGTTAATCATGGAAAAAATGAGATTAGCAGCAGCAAAACGGAGTGGATGTGCTTTTGGAATCCCGAGTCTCTTAAATGCCAGACTACGCCAAAGAAGGACCCCTCAGCTTACTAAGCCATTCATCAACAGCTCATTTCATTTGCAGTGGAAGTTTCCCTCCCTTCCCTGTATCCCTGCAAAATCGCATTGGGAACTCAAGTCATTGTCTAGATGGGAGAGAAAAAGTAATAAGCAGATGTAGAAAGGAGGCTGCTGATAGGACAAAGGGGCTAGCAGAAGGACAAGGCAAAGATGCCAGGAGGACATGAGTAGGGCAGAGGAACAGGAAGAACTGGATGTGGTTAAAGAAACAAGGGAAGTCCCTATCTCCAAGAGGCTTCATCAACTGGGAATGTGAGCAGCCCAGCACCCAATGGAAGGAGAGAAGTCTCTGGACGACATGCCGCACCTCTCTGGATTCAGAAAGCTTCTATCTCTGATCTCTAATGTAGACTATAAGCACCATGAAGGCAGGGGCTCACTTTCTTCCTTACATAGAGGCAACAGTAAAGCATTGAAAGTAGAATTGTAGTTGTATCCCAACTTGGATCGTTATTACTTGTCTTCTCCTGGGCAAATTATTTTGCCTTTCTAAACCTCACTTCCCTTACCCTTGGATAAAGATGATAAATGTACCTGAACACAAGGTTGATTTGAGACTTAACTAAGATTATATAAATTAATCCATAGAAAGCATTTAGCACAGCATCTAATAGGCAGGAAGGGCTCAATACTTGTTATCTATAGTTAAGATGACTATTCCAGACACATTCCCAGCTCCAAACATAGTGAGAGACATTTAGTGAAAGGACTAAATGAATACCTATTATATGAATGAAACAATGAAGTATTCAGGGGCCTAACCACATCACTCCACCCCCATGGTAGTTATTATTATTATTATTTTTAAAGATTTATTTATTTATGCATACAGAACTGGGGTACAGGCCAGGGGTGAGGGTTGGTGAGAAGCTTCACTGGAGACAGAGCTGGGAGCAGAACAGGCAGATTGACGAAGTACATTGCTGAGGGGAGCAGCGGGCGGGTCAGGAGAGGTCTGCCACACCATGTGGGTCACCTCCGGGGCCAGGGATTGAACTAGTGCTGAAGTGGCTTTAGCTTCTTAGTGCTGCATTTACCCGCTGCACCACCAGGGAGGGCCCGTTATTATTATTTTTAATATAAACATAGGCTCATCAGATAACTGTTGGTTTTACTATCCAAACAGTAGTCTTTGGAAAACTCATTTAGTGCAAGCTCACAGTTGAGAAAGAAAGAGTGGAACTTTTTCTCAGTAGGTTTCTGTAAACTTACTCATGGCTTCCATAGAATGTGCAGTTCAATGATCATGGTCACAGACAAGAAATCATCAGAACACATCTTGAGTTTTCAACCTTAAAGTACAATTGTTTTTGAGATGGAATTCCCCCACGCTGCAAGCCTCCCACCCCCACACCGGTCAGAATGCCTGTTAGGTATACAGACTATCTCTTGCTTTCCAAGAGATTGGATCCTACCTATTGCGTTTTTTTCTTTATACTGTTTGATGAAAGAGGAATAAAAACTTCTGAGGAAGGTTAGATTGCTGGGTTATTATGACTCATCTTTAATGTCTCCCACCCCCAGCCAGGCCAAAATAACTAAAGATGCAGATTATAGAGAGCCGAGCTCTTGGGTATCCAAGTGGCAGATAGGACCAAACTATCAAGTCAAAGTCATCTTCAATAGGAAGGATGGAAGAGCTGCCGCTCCACTCTATTATGGTGAATTGCTATTTTCCAGAGGGATTACCATCTTCATTGGACAGCTCAACAGTGTAGCTCAGGGAAAAAGAAAACAAGGGGAGGTGTGTCTTAGCAAAAAAACAAAGTGGCCGCTTTGTGACATATCCAGCAGATAAAGAAGATAAAGAGGAGCCTGGAACCCCCAAACTCCCTCTTGGTCCTCTTCCTGTCTACCCACAAACCCAGTGGAGCAAATAATCTATGCTGCTGGGAGAAAGGTGCCGTCTGACTAACTTCAGAATGAGTAGGTAGAATATAAGAAGCTGGGGTCTCACTGGTAATGGAAACAACAGCCCCAGTCATTGCTGACTGGCCCTCTGATAAGGGACAAAACCCACCAAGGGACAGGTCAAAGCAAACAGGCTCTTTTCTACCTGTTTTGTCCTGATTTCTGTGACCTGCACAAGGAAGAAGGGTGGCAGAAAAGGCTGAGCAAGTAGAGTTTATTGCTCCCGGGCAGCAGCTGAGAGAGACGAGCTCCCAAGGGTGGGATCCGCAGCTACTGCGAGTGCTGTAGGGAAAAGTGTCTCATGTAGCGGCTTTAGGTTCAGATTCTAGAAAGCTGAGGTGTCGCTGTACACCTGGATGCGAGGCCCAGTTCCGGTCATTGTTATTGCCCATATCTGGTCACACAGGTAGCTGTTGTGTTACTGCCCATATCTGGTCACACTCAACACTACCTCCGAACTCACCCTCTGCAACTCAGGTCCCTAGAGGGTTCCCTTTCTTCATCCCCTCATTCCCCCTCATTCGGTAAACTGCTGTATCTCTAGATGTGGTCCTCAGGTATGAGCTGTGTGTCCACAGGGGGTCCCCTCCCCCTAGACCCATGCCTTACTCAGCCTCCTGTCACAGGGCTCTGAGCGGCTGTAATTCATTCTGGGATTTGGCAGTAGCCATCAAATTCTGTTTCTAGAAGAAAAACAAAGTATACTTAGCAGATTGCCTGAGAAGACAGTTCTTTCAGTGACTGATTAACAAATCTGTCTTGCTTCCTGCTTCTTTCTTCTCATCATTAGAGGATACTCAGGGACACTCAGGGCTTCTAACCCAAAAGCTGTCATTAACTCTTCTGAGATAACTGAGTGCACCGATTCAGGAAGAAATACCAGACCTACCAATTTTTTCCAATTACACTCCATGCAACTCTGCAACCAAACAGAAGGATTTGATTATAAAGCAAAAAAGTAAAACAGGAAGACCCTTCAATTCAGGACACAAAATTCAAAATAAAAAAAAAAACTTACAAATCTAAGTACTTAAAATGGAAAGTTCTGGCTAACAAAATGGCAAGCCATCCATAAAGTAACAGGACAGATGAGAAAACAAAAGTCTGATTTCTTCAACATGTAGAAGTTCTTACAAAGGATTAAGAAACAGATTCAATAGAAATATGGATAGAAAAACAATATATACAAATGACTAATAAATCACATGAAAAGACTCTTGATCTTAGTATATCTTACTGACAGCAAAATAAATTCCAGTTAAAGTACCTATCATCTTGGTTAAAATTAGGAAGAATATCTTGTGTCAACGAAAATGTGAAGAACAAAGCACTCTCAAGCATAAGATGATACACTGGGGCACTGATTTTGTAAGGGTTAATTAGGAAACTATCAACATTTAAAAATTTAAGAAGATGTTACACTGACTTGTATTAGCATACAGATCTCCAAAGATGA